CAGGTTGCAGACCTCTGATCTACAGGCACATTTACAAACAGGTTAATAGAAAGTAGGGGTCAAATGAATTGATCTAGTTGGAATTGAAGCCACGCTGACCTACTGAGCCAGGCTCACTGTGTGTGAGCTGCTCCGCTACACTGGGTCCGTCCAGAGAAACGGCCCAAAGTTTAAGCAAACCACAGAAGTTTGAGGAAGGATCCACAACACAAGTTAAACAAAAGAAAGGGAAATTAATTTTTGTTATTGTTCCTGATGTCAAGGTTTAGTTCAACAGTATGAAAAACAAACTTGATTCAAAGTTGAAGCTAATTTCCGCCTAATTTTGGCATATTACTGGTGTTTCATCTTATGGTGGTAGACCAGGGTCTGCAACCTCTACAAGTTTAAGAGCCATTTTTGAACTTTGTCCTTCTAATAAAACTCACTTAGAGCCACAAAACATTGAATGATTGTTTTTTTTTTTCACAAAAAGAATAAATAATTTATGTTTAAAAATATCAACCACAGGAGATTTGTCATTTTTAAACAACTATTGTGCCATTTCAAACGTTAAGTTTTAAAATTAAGAAAAAAAAACTTTTGTAAAGTTATGTAAATAATGAACTTTTGAAACCATGTTAAAACCAACATTTTATTTTTCCTTCTTAAAAATATATATTTCTTAAATAAGTCAATTTATTTATTGAATTAGAAAAACGTAATGTCATCTCAGCTAAAAGAAAAACTATTTAGTCTGAAACATTGCAAGACCTTCTTTAAAGGAGAGAAAAATACGTTTTTTTTTTAACACACGTACAAATGATTGCTGATATTTTTGGAAATTTGATGCAAATAGACAGTGCATAAAATTCTAAAACATTCATATTTTCAGTACATCTATTTAAAAACTAAGCCCAAGAGATGAAGAGCCTTTGCAGAGCATCTAAAGAGCCTCTCAGAGCCGCAGGTTGCAGACCCCTGTGGTAGACGAATGAAGAATATACTAATATACAGAAGGATCTATTTTATACAGAGATAGCTTAAGACTAAGGGGGGGGGGGATGGGGGAATCTATGGCTTGTGAAGGAAACCAAAATGATCAAAAGCCAAACAAGCAAAAATGTTTCAGAAATGTTATGAACACAAAACACAGAATAGCAGGAGGGATTTAGGTAAATAAGAGGGAAGCATTTTGGAAGGAGTCAAATCAAAACACTGATTGGTTTGATGACGGAACTGATAACATGGAGCTGGTTGCTGATTGGTGAAACTTGCTGAAAGGGAGGTTACCTGGAGACAGGCCAGCAGCCAATCACAGGCCGGAGACTGGGGAACTTTGCCTAAACTACAAACGGGGGACTCGTCTATCTGTAACACAAAGGAGCCGGTGTACAGAGAGGGCCGCAAACACAATTTGATACCACATCTGGAAATAAGGCAAAAGCGGCTCACACTGAATCGCTAAATGCTCATTTAGACTCTATATAAACCCACCAAAAACACAAAGCAGCTTTTGTTTTCTTGAATAAATAATCTAAATTTAGAATACAAAAGAAGAATGAGGAGAACACATGAAGATTGAAAAGAAATGAAAACTTGTAAATGTTCTCTGGATGTAAAAGTGTTCATGTGGTGATATGTCGTCACCCAGCAACACGAATCTTAAAGATAGAGAGCTGTAATAACCTGAAAAAGATCTGCGTGTAAAGACCTTATTTGAAAGAGGATCAAAGTTTCTAAATAGAGTGTGAAAATAGAATAAACCAGACTAAAGAAAGACACGGCTATATTTCTCTACATCCATCTTATTCCCAGATTGTGGACACTGCATCCTAACAGTTGATATCAGCAGCCATGTTTGCATTGTAATGAAGACTACAGCCCCCAGAAAACACTTATTTCACTGGACTTAATCTCCAACATTTAACTTTAATTTAGCATAGAATTGGTACAGAGGGGAACAAACTGGGCTGAAAGTCATTGCTGGTGTCAGAAAGAATGAAGAATGAGCCTTAAAAACATCCCAGACTGTTTCTACACTCAGTAAACTGTGTCACATTAAGCTGGTGTCTATCTGATAGGGTCTCATTATTAGGTGTCCAGCCCCTGTAAGTGAGCCTGTTCACTCTTCAGTGCCAAAGCTATAGAAATGCATCCTTTTTTATGAGATAAATCCAACTGAGAAGAGTAATGCCATTACTATTATATCTATATAGACTTTCCTATATCTTCTTATTATTTTCAAAATAAACTATACTTGCGTGACTGTTAAACTACTTCTTCCTATAGTTTATCTACCGCTGCACAACAAAAATCACACCTTCTGATTGGGCCTTGCAGACACAGGTAGTAGTGTCAGGAAGCCTTTGACTGACATTTACCCCATGTACCGCAAACATTGGGAAGCCTCCGCCACTGTCCCGCCTCCAGCCGCGGTCTTCACTTATGGATGACGAGCTGTGCTTCCTGACACTACTTCCCATTTGATCGTGTCGAGCGCAGAGACGCTTTCGAGAGTGCAGACGTCCTCGAGCGTGACCACTGGATAGAAAACCGTGCCCGCGGTGAAGATCCTGAGCACGATCCCAAGCGCACCTGTGAGGAGCTAGCGCTAACGGAGAGGGATTTTCTCCTCTCAGAGCGGTAGTTTCTTGCGCTTGTGTTATTTTGTTGTGTGGTGGTAGATAAACAATACAGGGAAGTAGTTTAACATAAATACAAGTATGTTTATTTCGCTCGCGGGCGTTTTGAAATAAACGTGACACTATAGTTTCAGAGAAGAACAGAGGCGTTCAAAGTGATGCTTGCATTTCAAGAACAATAAAGCTTTGGTTACAAGCACTGGTGGTTGATGCCAATGGAAAATGTCAAGTTTTAATGAGGGGAACAATTATCCTGCGAAATTAAAATAATTTCTTGAAATCAATATGAAAGTATTTTTTTATTCTAATATTCTTCCCTTTAAACCCAGAGCAAATAGGACCTGATCATGTCAGTATTGATAAACAGAGTAATTCATTATGTTCACTTTGAGTCTGAATCTGCTACAAAGTTTACACAGCTGCTACTTCACATATGAGCATTTTCTTATCTTGCCTACATTTAAAATGTGCCAAAATTGCAGGCAACACATTCAGAGCAGATTTTAAGCGTAGAAGGATATAGATCAACTTAAATAACATTGTCCTCATCAGTTCCTCCCACTGGGTGTAACTAGAACCTCAGCTTGGTGATCACTGAGCTCCATGTTACCTCTGTTATCCCTGATCAAAGCCATTCATAGTTCAGGTACTGAAGCAGCTCAGAGCTTCTCATCAGCAAAGGACTTAGTATAAGCATATGATCAGATTGCTCAAACACATCAGAATCTCGTCAATCAGAGGCTTCTGCAGACCCAGACCGCTACAGAACATCCTTCATGCCTTAACACCTAAAACCACTCGATGGAAAAAAAAAACTGAGTTACTTCACCCTTTAGTTTCCCTTTTGGATGAATAAGGAATCAGGTGGATTCAGCTGGAACGTGTCAGTCATCATAATCAGCAATCAAGGCTGTTAGATTAACGACGTTTCTTACCATAGTAATTAAAGGAAAAGTCGCTCATATTCAGAA